TTCTAAAGGATGACTCGAGTGCACTGACTTTCTTTTRATATTCAGGTCCTGGATTGATTCGATGCTTTCAGTGGGAGCGGCCGACGAAGTAGTATCTGATTTTRGTGCAGCAGAACAATTAGTAGCTCAGCACCAAGAGAACCAAGGCGAAGTTACAGCACATGAAAAAAGCGTTCACGACTTTCAAGAATCGGCTCAAAAGCTTATTAAATCTGGCCATCCACAGAGWTCAGATATAAGGGATAAAAGCAAACGACTTGAAGAAGCATGGTGTAATCTTTTAAGTTATTTTAAGAAGAAGCAAAATCATCTCGAAMAAATGAGAGAAGTACAAAGGTTCAAACAAGAGGCTGACCAATTAGAGGGATGGCTMAATGCACGTGACTCTGATGTTATGTCTCAAGACGTAGGTGACTCACTTGAGGCTGTTGAAGCTTTGTTGAAGAAGCAAGAAGAATTTGAAAATATGTTATTAGCAAAGGGAGACCATTTCCAGGGGTTAATGAGGTTAACTAATCAAGAAATGGAATCTGAAAAGCAAAAAAGAGAGCGTGAACTACAAAAACAACACGAAAATAAGAAAAAAGAAGAGAAAAGAAGTGCACCGAAGAGTCGAGATAGGATACAGGAAAATGTGAAACCAAAGATTAAACCGAAACCAAAGTTGCAAGGACTAAAAAGTTCTGTTGATAATGAGAAAGAGCTTGCTGATGGTGGGCATAAAGAAAAGGAAAAGCAAGATCCAATAATGATACCAGGGATACGGAACCATACACCCGAACATATAAACCCGGAAGAAACCRTTACAATGAAAACAAACAACTTCAATGTTGAAAGCGAAATTGATCCGCAAACATCGCACGAACCGTTACAAAATACTTTTAAAAGWTTTCCAACTAAAACCTCAGTGGAAAAAGTTGAAGGATTGCTTCAAATTAAGCAAGAACTAGACGTTGGTAGACGGAAAGCTTCTGTTCGAGCATGGAAAACGTTTTATACCGTTTTTGACGATGGTAGACTTTTATTTTACAAGGACAAAAAATCAGCATCTTCTTTTGATCCGGCAGCTTCTCTTGACCTCAAGGGATCAACCATTGAAGAAGCTGTAATCAGAAAGAACACTTTTCGTTTATTTGTCCAAGATGGRTCGGAGTTTTTATTTACAGCAAAAGATCCAAGTRATTTCACTCGTTGGTTTGATGAAATACACAAATGGAATCATCCAGAATCATCACCAAAAAGTTTTGAAGAACCATTGCAAAAAWTTGTCGAGCCAGAAAAAGCCGTYCAAAAGATCCGCCCACCCAATCCAGTTATAACTGTAACGAGTTTTGATAGTGATGACAGTGATGTTGATTTRCCCGTTATTAATTCTCCGCCTCCAGATATTCCTCCTCCTGTTTTACCAGACTATGACTCTGAAGCCGAGGTTCAACACTCTCACATAGACGACGTTGAAGACAACTTAGTGAGTCAGGACGTCACTGAAGATTCCATTGAAAGTGATCAGTATATGGACCATGAACTTTCCGATGAAAAAGATGGATCAAATAAGCTTAGCRATGAGAACGACGCATTACATGAACCTTACCATGATAACCAATATATCGAAGATGAMGACAACTATTACTCCTCAGATATCATCTTTGAAGACGACATTAACCCCGAATTTTATCCTGATGCCCCAACGGATTTTAACGATAATAGCATGCCTGATGTGCCATTGATCCCTCCTCCCGAAATCCCCCCTGATGACTTTAGAGATTTAGAGGAAGGTATGGTTGATGATGATGATGATGATATGATGGTTTATCCTAAAGCCCCACCTCCTCCTATCAAGACCAAWATTAGCAGTGATCAAGAGAGTTACTTTCCCAGAGGTAGCGATGGTCTGCCTTCACCGCCWAGACCAATAAAATCAGAAACAAAGTACACAAAAACTCAGCAACCTACAATATTACATCACAAAAAGAAACGTGCACCGCCGCCTCCAAGGGACAAAGACCCTGCCGCCAGATATCGATCTGACAGCCAAGATTCACGAGATTCGGATGATTTCGTGCCGCCTCCTAAACCCCTCTCGAGAGCACACCAAAACAAAGGTGTCCAAGATGATAAGAAACATGAAAAAAAGAAAGGGATGTTTGGATTTTTGAAAAAGAAAAAATAGAATAAGAGACTATTTTTCAATRTATTTTTACAATGTATTTTTAGAAACTATTTAAAGAAAACATATGAAACCGGACAATTATTGTCGTTCACGAACGTGTGTATATTTATCATTAAAGTTCGCAAACATCAATGCTAGTCTTTTCGACTTTTTTATGTCTTTTTATTCGTGACTCGTCTTTTGAAACCTCTTTCGAAATATACTGCTGTTCGCACGTCATGTCTAAAGCTCCATGCATCAACGATCCTGATATACGTGTGGTATCGATACAACCCTTGAATTGCCCCTTTTTAGACAAAAGAACACAATGTGTACATCTTTTTAGAAAAACGTGCAATAATTCATKTTGCCAGGTATACTATGGAAATTGACTGGAATTGGTTATTTAGCACGGAAATGTTTTAGCCATTGTATCGGTTTGGTCGCGTTTCAAATACCCTGTGGATTGCAAGTCATGTTTGGATTAATATTGAAGGGCCTTTCTTTCTAAAGTGACATCGAATAGACACGTTTTCACGTTCTTTCAGTTTATACAACACTTCACCACCTGCCCAGCATCAAATCATGAATATAACCTCTATTAACTATGATATAACCGTTAGAATGATAAGATACGTGCCTGGAATACCAGATCACTGTACGTTTATAAAGTGATTTGTAAAAGATATGACGTTTGTATACGTTTGAAGCACATTTTGAAGAGGAACTTAATCCACCTCTTACCTTCTTGACACGCTAAATTTTATATATTTATTAGCAATTAGCTAATGGGCTTTCCTACATACAAAAAGTAGAAGTAATCTATTATCCTTGAGGTTTTTTGCAAGTCTCGAAGACCGTAAACAAGKCTTACAAATGTTTCCTGGATTCATCATTGAACGCCCCGTCGATGAATAAAAACGTTGGCGTTTGTTTCGGTTCTGACGTATTAGGACAAGAAAGAAAGGCGCCTGAGGCGTGTCATTTTTTTAATAAATTCTGCTTCAGTACTGGACAATACCTGACAAAATTATTGAAACTCTATGTCACTTTCGCTGATCAATTAAAAAAACGCTTTAATTGTAGTTTTTGGGATGTCAGCTTGTTTGATAGAATYATCAAACATTTGTTGTTGTTGATATTGTGTCAAATGATAAATTCTGGCCACGTATTAGGTCATTATCAATTGTTTCATAATTCAATTTTATTCCCAATGAAGATTCTGATTTCATTGTTTTAACACAAAAAAAAGTTTCACTTTATCTATATATATGATACGAGGGTAGAGCATTGTTTATGAAAAGCAAAGCAAAAGTCTCGTACTGTTTGCCAGGTTGTCTGGTCCATGTTGACAGATTCTCAACAAACTATTATCGGTTTAGCCAATCTCATTGTGAYAAGCTTCCTTTCATTTATCAGGGTCTTGGTGACAGTTTCTTTTGGTGTAAAAAAGCGGAAGTGAATAAGAAATAAAAACAATATTAACCACTCCAGTTGCTATGATTGTTGAACCTAGTTTTTCAGTCCGTYAAAAATTGGCATTTTCTCTTTAGGTTTGTGAAAACATGATGAAAATTGAATGAGTTTACAACACATCAAGAAAAAGCTAGTTCTCAATACGGGTGGTAATATCAACGGACTATCGACGTTAAAATAGTAACTAAAGGCAACTTATTTTCCAGCCACAGCCCGAGAGAAAAAAAGGCTTTATGCTAATCTTCGCATTGTTCCTGGCATAGCGTATCGATGTAAAATAACTAATGAATGTATCAAACATACATTTTATTGAATCTGCACTGTACAATTCATTTTAAATTCAGCTGGCACCTGATTTAGTAACAGTTTTAATAGAGAATCGTTCTGTACAAGTACTGTATTTCCTCCATMTCAAAAATAAGGAAAACACTTTACGAAAACCATTAATTAGAGGTTCGTCATTTATCCTCGGGCTGCCCGCGGTTCTTTTGAACTACCCATCAAAGGAATAGCATTACCATAAAACTATCAGATAATACTAACAACAACGCTCTTTAAAGTACCATCCCTTATATCTTTTCCTGTTTTTCTTCCTGGACACAGCCTGAAATCAAGATAAAAGGTTTTTTTTCGGATTTTACTTTCATGCCAATCGYAGTGATTATGGTACCCGACTTTTTGTTTAAAAATGTCTCTTTTAATACACCTGTCCAGTGACCACTTTAAGAAAAAACAGGGCCGACAAAATATTGAAGAAAAACAAAGAAAATTGACGTACGAAATTGCTGCTAAAATTGTTTTGGAAGTCGTTAAWTTGGGGCCGGKTAWTACTAAACATTTTTGCGTCTTCGCATTCTTTATATTTACTATAATATTTGGTTATTCTACACCGCAAAAGCCCTTAGTATCAGCAGTAATCCCAGGAACAATAACCTAGTGAAGTCATGGTAATTTCAGTAATGGTACCTGACTTGTTTTAAAATGTCTTAATTATATAACACCCTTCAGTGTGGCTACACACAAAAACATGGCCGACAAATAATAACTTATTTCAGTCTAATTATTAATTATTTAGGGGCACATTTAAAGTTATTTGGTGATGTTCATATTTATTATATATATGAAAGCTATTATTAATCAGAATTATCTACATCCMTTTTCGAAAGAAATCCGCCGTTACAGCCTAACCACAACTAACTACTACAATCATCAATAGAAAAATACTAGGTCGAAGTCATCTTCTTGGAAATACTGTTCCTTTTCCTTCGTTGCATTCCTTATATTTACAGTAATACTTTGGTAATCTTACACCGCAAAAGACAGTATTCACAGTAATCCCAAGAACAATAAGTCTAGCCGAATCGCATTGACTTTGGTTGACGTAAGAGTTCACGAATTTCAAATTCCTTTTTTCTTTCCAACTGATGTTAAAATGTTTCTGCAATGGGGCGACTTTGTATTGCTGATTGTACTATGTAGTTTGCAAAACCGTGAAAATCACTTGAGTGATCAAAACGTACTTTAAAACCACTGRAATCAGTCCATTGCCGAGTCATATTTTGAACTTTTGAGATCCGTATACTTGCGGAATACTGGAGCTCGATGTTTCAATTATCATATACCAAATTCACGATCCGACGATACTTTATAATATGGCATTTTAAATACACCACTAATCCACACCAGGCAAAAGCATTTATATTTCTGRCCCAAGTACTAATCTATACTAAGCTGAGACTAGTAGTAGGATGATGGGCACGAAATTCTTTATTCGACAGGTCAAGCTCGATGGAATCTTTAACGTATGTAGGGATGCGCAAATGTGATTTTTGAAGAATGGTTAGAATTTCACTAATGCTTCTAGCTGAGAGACTTGGATCTGCCAAGTTGATTGCGTGTGTGTAGGCAAATATCCCACGGAATGAAAGGGCGAGCGCTGACAAGATAGTTTACAGGCTGCGACTCAAATCAATTACAGATGCAAGAAACAAAGCTGGTGGTAGTTTCCAGACCATTTATATCGCCATCTACAATAACCTGCCTAAGCTCATCATTATTCATTGTGAACCTGGACGTTTCAATGCTCGATGAGCATGGAAATAATATATATTTTTTAACTTAATAGTGTTTGCGAAATATCTTGATATAATTGGGTTGTTGCCTTGCCCTCTTTTCCAGAATGGGGWCCTGGTAGCAATTGCCATCGCACATTAAGATGACATTGGCAATTGCATTACGTTTATAAGTGTTTTATCCTGGAAAAGCACAGTTCATTTGATAGATTCTACATGCAGAAACCTATGATAATCGAGTGTGGAGGTGGTGACTGGTTTTGTACACAAGATGTAATAGTCAAATTAGCACATTCAATTGTATAATATCTATTTCAGCTATATCCTTCAACCATCTAAACATGGCCCTKAGCGAGCAAATACAGATACACTATCCGGCTAGTTTTATTAGGAGGATGCATGCTTGTGCGTGTATGAAGGGAACTTCAGTTCACTGGTTTCGCGTCCAATTAGAATGAACTGTCGATGAAAATTCCACCGTTTGGTTGAGCGTATTTCTCATGGCAAATTGCCACCCCTATTTGATGATGGCTGATGATATTTTAATTTAATTTTCCTTAATAATTTTCCTGACCACMCTTTCTGTCCAYCCRATCATCACTAAATTGGGTTGTCCAAAATATAGGAAAAGAAAAAGAGGGGAAATGCATGAAGCAAAYTCAACTTTGTTTTTGTTTTCGCATGCATCTGTGTATRGACCGGTTTTCTTCGGAAATGTCYCATATCTAAACGTGAGGTCAAAGTATGACATAAGCATCAGGAGCTGTGTTGCCGCCCTGTATTCATCGGTATGACATCAATACCTCTCGATCGTCAAGGTGGACAGGTATATTTCGTTTAGAGATTTCCGGCCTCTAT